CTCAGAACATCAGCAAAAGTAAATCTACGCGATTTTTATTTACAAATTGTTTTGGAGCCTCTTGAATTTACTGCTGCTGGGTATCATAAAATCAATCTTCAGTTCTTTGCTTGCGTTTTAACAGGAGTTGCTTCTTATGAAAGTAAGTTTTGATTCGTTTGTAATATGCTTATATGTTTACTTTGGCTGGTTTGCTGTTTGGCTGGTTGGAACACTGAGATCTCAACAATTAAAGCACATTGAGACTGTCTGGCTGGTTGGCTGGCTAGAACATTATGATATCGACAGTTGAAGTATATAGAGGACAACAGGTTTTTTGCATAGCTGCTATGTTGGAAACTAGTTGTTTTACTAAAGTTAAACTATGACTAGGGCATGGTATCCTTCGTAGCTTTGGCACGACCTTAGCATAAAGTGTATTAATAAATCTTAAAATTCAAATTCTAGCTGCTATCCTTTCAGTAATTCTTGTGCAATTTTACACGCTATAAACACCTTATCAACTCGAGTATCAGTCATCATCAAAATAAAATTGCATGTTTTTTATATCCTTTGGTCACTAGGGATGGAAACAGCTTGCACTATAATCTACTAAGTTGGGTAAGTCGACCTCATTCAAAATACTGATTGAAGGAAAAACTAGTCAGTATATTGACAACATGGAAGCAGAAAAGAATTTGACAAAATGTTCTAAAGTTTTTCAAATTTTTGGACTTTTGTATTTTTCTGTCAAAAAGCTTGATAATATTAATGCATATCCATCGGTTCCATATACAGTGCAATTCATAACGATTCTAGTCGCTTTTTTATGTCAAGCAACAGTTTTCCTCATTAACATGGCAAAAATATATGCAATATCAATAAGTGTTAAAAACTCACTCAATCTAGCTTTTCAATGCTTATCATTTTTGGGAATAATATCTGTACTTGTTGTAGCGACCACCCAATCGTATTTCAAGACGACCAAATTAAAGAAAATTTTTAAAAATTTTATTACAATTTCGAAAATTTGCCATGATGATTTTGGATACACTTTGAATTATCGTGCTGTTAAAAATCGATTTTTTAAGACAACTTCAATTTTTTTAATAATCTGCATTTTATCACAAATTTTAGTTTTTATATTCGAGTTAAAATTTAACTCCAAAGACTCAGTAGAACGTAATGTAGTTGGTGTACTGTTGACAATAGTTTTGATCATGATTTTTCAAAAGTTTTTATTCTTTATAAATCTCATCAATTACACTTTAAAGCATCTAATCATTTTGATGAAGAAAGTATCTCGAATTCAAAATTCAAAACGAAAGAAAAAATTGGATAAATTAAGGAAAATTTATAATTTGATACAAGAAAATGTGGAACTTATCAATCAGTGCTTAGGATTTACAACATTAGTTCACATCCTTAGCATTACTTTCGCTAATATTATTTTTATATACAATATGTTTTTGATCTTTGTTGGTGAATATAGTGCTGGATTGGCTGCAGGTAGCTATTTTTACGCTATTGGCTATGAACTGCCCCTCCTTCTCTTCCTACGCTACTGCCACTTACTGATTATCTCCAAAAAAAATTATTTCATATTTAAGGTTTGATATACGCTTCGTTAATGTCATTTTCTAACTTATTCTCTATGGCATCTGCGTGTGATCAAATCCAAAGCATTGTAAGTTCATGCAACATCCAAATGATTGATAATCTGAAACTAAAACAATTTAATTTTCATCTTCAATGCAGAAATCAAAGCTTCTTTCAACTATTAATCTACTTCAATCTGACATTGAACTCAAAAATTCTGAACAAGAGATTTTAAAGGATTTTTATCTGCAAATTATCATGAATCCTCTTAAATTCACAGCTGCTGGATATTATACAATTAATCTTCAGCTCTTTGCTGGAATTATTATGGGAATTGCATCTTATGAAGGTGAGTTTTTAACTATCATAGAGTTGCGATCACTGCCTGTGACTAGCACAGGTGACAGATCTGTCACAGAAATTGTCTGTTATCAGGAAGTGTCTGTGACAGGCACAAATCTAGAGGAAGTTGACTTATGACGTCCAGGATAAGGGGCAGCGAGAAAATAACAATTAAAAATTCCTGGAAGTCCATTGTCCTTTTTTGTAAAATGACCGTTAATTTCGGACGTCATAAGTGAACGATCTCTTATATCTGTGGACATATTTGCAGATCTGTGACAGATCTGTGCCTGTGATAGGCAAAAAAATATTGCCTGACACAAGCACTGTCTTATAACAGGTAAGTGACAGGTGATTGCCTGTGACGGATCGAAACTATGAACTATCTAGCTCAATTAGGTAACCATCTGCTTGAGTTTTAAGTGAAATTTCTGATCACATTGAAATTAGTTCCCATAAAACTTCAAATTGATTTAATTTTTTTTTTTTTGGAATGGCAAAAATAATAACCTATCGAAGGAATGTTCTAAACACAACGCTTTTGGCTGCGGACCTTTTTATTAAGACTCTAGTACCTCTTGTGTGATCCTAGATTGCCCCAATCTCAATCCTGTCTACTCAGTAAATGACACCCGAATAGCACAAGTCGGTTATTTGAATAGAAATCTGGCACTAAGCTGACGTAACTCTGACATGGTGCTAGATATTATTTCAGCTTCATGCTCGAGTCACGCCTTGACTATTCGACTAACCGACTTGTGCTTTTCAGGACAACTTTTGTCTAATGTAACGTGAACTTTTATCTTTTATTTATTTTTAAGTAATTCTAGTGCAGTTCTACTCAGTTTAACTTTAAAATTTATAAACCAAACACTTGAAGTTCCAAAGGGACCAAAAACAGTTCAACACCTTGTCATTATCAATACACACGTGCCTTCCTTGAGTCACTATTAAACGAAATGTCTATAATTTAATATTCAAACGGATGATTACCGATTAATGCTACAATACATGATAACATCAAGCACCAAGCCGCATAATAATTTTAAAACTCATCAGTAAAGTTTCTATATTCATCAGAACTGCCAGCATAAAAAATGGAAGCAGTAGAAAATTTAGCAAAATGCTGTGGAATATTTCAAATTTTTGGACTTTTTTATTTTTCAATAAAGAAGCTTTCAATTAAGACAGCCAATTTATATCCATCGATGTTCTACACCATCCATTTTATCTTAATTTTGGTGATTTTAACAACGCAGTCTATCATCCTTGCAATCAGTACATCATCAGATATAACAACAGCAATTAATGCTAAAAATGCACTCAATTACATCATCCAGCACTCAATGGTGATTGGATTAATTTTAGTGCTTATAATTGCATTTATTCAGTCATATGCAGCAACGCGGGAAATGAAGAAAATTTTTGTGAATTTTATAAAAATTTCACACATTTTTCTCGAGGATTTTCAGCACATTATGGACTTTTGTACCATGAAAATGCAACTTTATAAAATGATTTTTCGTACCATGCTGTATTACATAGCATCGCAAATTGTGCTTTATATTTACGAAACCTATTACGGAATTAACATTTCTTTGGTCCGCATGTCTATTGGAATATTTCCAAATATATTCATGAGCATGATTATTTTTAAATTTGTGTTCTTTGTGAATCTTGTGAATTATAACTTGAGTCACATGACAATCTTGATGCAGAAACTGTTTAGTCCACAACATGGACCAGCGATAATTAATGTCAAAGCAAAAGCTGATAAGAAATTTGAAAGAAACTTGAAAACTTTGAGAAAAATTTACTATTTGGTGCAAGAGAATGTGGAACTTATTAACAAAAGTATGGGATTCACGATTCTGGTTTTTCTTGGAATTCTCGTGCTGTCCTTAATTAGTGGTGGGTACCGAATCTTTCTGTCATTTGTTGGACGATATCCTGTGAAAAAAATGTGTGGTAAGTCAGAATAAAAATGTTAAAGTAAAGCTTTGATGATGATGGGTTCCTATTGCTCCACTATGAAGCGTAGGGCATCCAAAAAGCATTTGAATCGCACTCGAGGCAAAGCTTTAACCAAAATTATCCATTAAATCTTCCAGCAATTGCAAATATCATGATATTTGTCATCATTATTATTCACTTGCTCGTGCATTCATGTGATCAGACACAAAAACATGTAAGGTACAAATCAACAATCATAATTTTATTTTAAAACATAATTTTTGTCGATAGATTTCCAAGCTTCTTTTGACTATCAGCAAAATTCAGTTTGAAAATGATCTGAAAAATTCGGAACTTGATATTCTTAGAGATTTTCATATGCAAATTGCTTTGCAACCACTTCAGTTTACAACTGCTGTATATTACACAATTAATTTGCAGTTTTTAGCTGGAATCTTTACTGGAATTGCTTCTTATGAAGGTGAGTTCTTGGAAATTGATATATTGGAAGCAGGGAGTAGCTGCTTTGGCTACCAACTTTTTGGGACTATTTTTGAAAAAAGATCTTCAATTTGCTAGGGTTTACTGAGAAAAATAGTCCCAAATTCAAGTCCCCATCCCAAAAAATTTTAATCTCCTTAAAACGAAAAATGCAAGGCGTGGAAACTCAGGAAACTCAAAAATTATCAAAATTGATCAAAAATGATCAAAATGTAATTCTTCAGTTCCACACCCTTGGATTAATCCCAAAAAATCCTAAAAAAAATCCCTGAGTCAATAAACATGGAAATTTGAAATACCTTTTAAATCCCGAAGTTATCCATCAAATGCAACAGCTATTTAAAAGAGGTTTCACATTTTCATGTTTATTGACTCAGGGATTTTTTTAAGGTTTTTTGGGATTTGTCAGGATTAATCCTGAGTTTCCACACCTTGGAAAGGGGGTCTAAAATTTTGTGAAAGTTCAAAGAATGGATTTTTTTGATGCATATTTTGCAACGAGAGAGCGGGAGGTGGGGGGGGGGGGGGGTGCTATGTTATGAATTTGTTTTAATTTGTTTTAACATATAGAAACATAGATCATCCCTTCAATTTGGCAGAAAACTCAATTTATTGTTATATAATTAATAATTTCTTTATTTTTCAGTCATTCTTGTTCAGTTCTACACATCTTAAAATTCGGATAGATTTATATAATTTCTTCTTATCTTTGTGGAGTGTGGCCCGTCTAATATATAAATTAAAAGCTGCTAATAATTACAGAAGCATAGGAACAATTGCAAGTGAAGCTTAAAAAAGTGTCGCCTAATCACAGTCGCCTTTAGCTACACTACTAGCTTATCATACCAAAAAATTAAATCCAATTCATGTGTCGTGGTTCATAGTTTGAGTATTTCTTTAATAAGTGCAATGGTTGCATATTAAAATTAATTATTAATTCAACTTAATAACTTATTGTATCTTTGTAATGCAATATTCTAATAAATTTACTGCTTTAGATTATAAACACTTTTTTTTTAATTTCATAACATGTCTAGTAATTGAACTGCTTTGAGAATTTTCTGCGTATTTGTCATTTTGCTAACACTTAATAATTATTTATGAGAATCTTCAAAGCTTACACTGTATTAATATCATTTCTATGAACAACTTGTAATTCATTGTCATTCTTTGACTTCACTAAAATACAGTCATGAACCATTTGCTTGACCTTAGCGATTCCACAAATCATCACATGAAGAACAAATAACAGAACATAAACTCCGAAAGTTAAAATTACTGCTTTCGTTGGATTCTTCTTCCAATCCAGCACTGAATAAATGTAATTGTGTCCACGATCATTAACACCACCAAGTACGGGATAAATTATTGTGAATGCTAAATATAAAGTTCCACAAATCAGTGAATAAAGGAAGTGTAAAATCCGATATTCATGCTGAATCACTAGAAGATCAAAAAGCAGCACAATTGAGTTTGTCATGTGCATCAAAACATTATTTAAACTAATGTGATCATCTTTGTCAGTTCCGTAAAGTAAAATCCAGTAAACTAAACTGACTGCACACGCAAATGGCACAATATTATTGTACATAAACCAATAAAACTTCAATCCTAATGTCATTCGATCTTGTGGCTTGGTTTTTCCATAGTAAAATGATAAGGCATAGCAAGCACCAATTGTACATGTTATTGCTGTTGCCAACATATTTAATCTTGTCAGATAGATGAATGACAATAGAATCTGATCTTGAATTGCTGAGTTGACCAGTCCATTTGTGTATGAGAAGATAAAAAAGGCTGCAAGGGCTATCCGGTGTATCACATATGTTAAGCTTTTGTCTTCTTTCTGCCACTAGATTTAAATAAAGGAAGAGAATTTGATTTTTCGGGTTGTAAAAAAGTAAATTTTTTTTTTAAAAATTTATGAATTGTCCTTTAGGCAATTTCAGGTAAGCAGCTGGTCTCACACCTCCAAAAAAAACTTTAGCTGCATAACTCAGAAACTATAAAAATAAATATTTAATTACCTGTGATTTCAGAAACTTCTTTGGATTTTCGGACTCAAAGCTGAGTTTAAGATCTTGAAATATTAACACTCTCATGATGCTACTTGCTTGACTGCCAGCTGATGAATGAATGATGTTTACACAGTCACAACACTCAAACTATATAAGAAAAGAAAATGCAACAGAAAGAAAAAGGTCTAATTTGAATCTTCTTAGAATCTTAATCATCATTGGGTTTTTACAGTCATTTTGGCGGGAATATGCTCTCTTTATATGATTATTAATTCAAAGTAAAATTTTGAGTTTGAAATGGTGAAATTGTGCGGCACTCATAAAATATTAAATAATTAATAAAAAGGTTTTTAAAGTAAAATATAAATAAATTTATTTGAAAAAGTGTTTTAAAAATGAATTCAATTAAATCTGAAATTAAAGGCTTTTCCTTGCGAGTAATAAATAAATAATTTAATTTCAAAATTTACAAATAAAAATCAAAAAATCCAAAAATCAAAAAATCAAAAATTCCAAAAATCAAAAATCCAAAAATCAAAAAATCAAAAAATCAAAAGATCAAAAAATCAAAAAATCAAAAAATCAAAAAATTAAAAAATCAAAAAATCTAAAAATCAAAAAATTAAAAAAATCAAAAAAGTCAAAAAAATCAAAAAATCAAAAAAACGAATCAAAAAATCAAAAAATCAAAAAAACAAAAAATCAAAAAATCAAAAAATCAAAAAATCAAAAAATCAAAAAATCAAAAAATCAAAAAATTTAAAAATCAAAAAATCAAAATGATCAAAAAAATTAAAAATAAAAAAAATCAAAAACTTGAAAAATCAAAAAATCAAAAAATCAAAAAATCAAAATAATCAAAAATATAAAAAAAAAATAAAAAAAAAATCAAAAACTCGAAAAATCAAAAAAATCTCAAAAAAATCAAAAATCGAGGCGGTTTTGATTTTTTCTGCATAAACGGGTTTTTTTGTGAGGGGGGAGGCAACTTTAGATTTTTTTTTCAAAAAACTCTATTAAATTGAAAAAATCTTCAAAAAAGGGGGGTTTGACCCCAAACTCCTCTTTTCCCCTTGCTACGTCTCTGCCTCAACCTCCTCCTATCCCTTTAAGTGTGACGTAACTTGCGAGCGACCCCATTAATTCTGTGCATCTTTTCTGTGAGTTTACAAATCAAAACACTTTAAAAAAAAATACAAAAACAAAAATCACAACAATGACCTCTAATTTAACAAGATTCGTGCTTATCGTTTAAAAAATTAATTGAAAAAATAGGAATTTCACTTTTTAGAGTTTCTGATGATGCATTGTTTACTTCAATTTTGTAATAAATAAAAGCATGTGTCATAGGAAGTTGATACTATTTCGTTAATTAATGACGTTATTAAAATTGTGAGATTGTTACGGATTTTTATCTCATCTTTGCGGTTTGAGATTATTTTTATTTTGTGGTTTCGAATGAAAATTGAGAATTTTTTGGTATTTTCCGTATGTTCCCATTTCTTCAGTTATATTATGGACGTCATAAGCGAATAATCATCAATAACCATGTCCCGAAAGGTATACGTCATAAAAATGACTGAAAATCTGTCACCAGGACAGCATGAAAACTGTACAATAGATTTCATCAAAAAAATTACAATAAGAACTTTATTAGACTAGACTTAATTGTTCCTTAGTTTTTAGAAAATTCTTCGAATTTATTCAGGTATCAAAGGAATCACATATTCTGTTCCTCATGAAACCGGAAATTTTTCTAGAACTTAAAAAAACATTTTAAACACCCTTTTTGACAAAGATTCTAAAAAGTAATTGATGAGGCGGTAAATAAAGAAATTTAATTATTTCTAAGTGTGTGCAGCAGATAATCATTGAACCTCCGAACCTACCACAATGTTTCTTTAAAAATTAATTTATTTATGAATTAATTTTATACATTTTTGTAAACAAACGATTATCAAACTCAAAACAACGTGTGCCGATTATAAAAACTTGACTGCTAATTTTTAAGAACAACCGGAGACTGAAAATGAATTACGTGGAAGATGATACATTTTTTTTGGTACCGACAACTTTTACTTCAATAATTGCGCTCAGTTTACAAGTTAAACCGGTTTTTATAATCAAATTTAAAAACAATAAGGGAATTCAGTGCAATTTTAGTGTCTGTCATAAAGTTTGCCTGCTATTTTAATCAAATTACATTTATTGCGACAAATAAAGATGCATGATGTCGACTGCCTTTTAAGATTTATTAATTTAATTAACACTTCTATTGTTCCATGAATCAGACTTCAAGAAATACTTCCGGTCACAACTTAATTAGATCCTCTTTCTGGTCAGGAGGCGTTCACTTATGATGTCCATAGGGGGAGGCGGAGGGGGGGGGGGGGGGGGTATAAAAAAATTACCATTAATTTCAGACGTCACAATTGAACGACCCCTTATTTACTTTATGATTCGGATAGAACAGTTTTGTCCAAACTTGCGACACACTGGAGTGACGCGGCACACAGTTTGAACGACACTGGGCTAGAAGATGCCTACATTATCACTTTTAATGTCACAGATAAGGAATATCCCAAAAGTACCAAAAAATAAAAGAAAACAAAAACAAAAGCTTGATTATCATCACGTTTTTAAAAATTCCATTTCCATATTAATTCAAATTTCTAAAGAAAATCCACGACCTACACCAACAAATTGGGGAAAAAAATGAATCAAATGATGAAATAAAACGAATGTTCTTTAAAAGTGACTTGAAATGTCGATCATTAGTATTGTGATTTATTTGAATCAGGGATGGATGCTTGAAATTTTGGTCTGAAATTTGAAATTGTTTCAGAATACAATAATTTTTTTACGGCATAAGAGAGTTTGAAGTCTCGAGTAGATTCGATTTTTTTAACTTTTAATATTTTCGAATCGTATCGACTTTCGCTGTTTAATATTCGATGTTTCTATTAGAGTTGCGATACAGGTCGCCTGTCACAGGCACAAGTGATTGATCTGTCAAATTAGATCTGTGACACATCGCAACTCTAGTTTCTAGATAGACCTTCCCGTTCTCCTCCCTGACGTGAACGATCTCCCAATGCCAGAAGCGATGATGATGCTAAAAATGACATCAGAGAAGATGCTCACAATTTTTATAAATCATTCAAAAGTTTTATGATGTCAGCAACTTTATTTTAGAGTAAAAACCTATTGTCATTGTAATTGGATATTTATTCCGCATCATTTTCATTGTGTGATTTTTAGAAAAATTGATTGACATTTTAGAAGAGGAATTCCCAGACTAGAGAACTACTGTGAGAAATTGTGGGAGTTCATACGAGGAACTTTAGAGCTCTATTGACTTATATAGACTACTACTGTAATGGGCAACACTTGTGCCGCGGTACATACGTGAAAATTTTGGGATATCTGACGAATCGTATGGTCTGTGTGGTTTTGGTAAGGGCTTCCCACCAAGTGTGCCGTTGTTCAAAAAAGGTTGGACAGTACTGGACTACTACAAAATTTGTTTCTATGAAGAGAGCGTCGAAAAATTGGGAACAATTTAAAACAAGAGCAACATTTCAATATAACATTTTTATGAATGTGGGGGTGGGGGAGGGGGAGGGGTTCAAACACTTAACCAATTTTTACAACAAACATGGAGTCAATGCAGTGGCAAACTGAAATAAAGAAAGTGAAAGGTAATAAGTTGGTACCCATTTTTGCTTTATGCTTTACAAAAACATCCAGCATTAATAATACAAATTTTTAAATTGATCCCAGAAGAACCTTGCCTGCAGAAAATAAACATTTGTATAGTAAAATATTTAACAGTGTAGGAAAAAATTTCGAAACAAAAATAACGGAAAAATAAAATTCAAACGTTTGAACAAAACTGTAATTCAAATTTATTTTAACCGTTAATATTTTCTTCAATAAATAATTTTTATTAATTTTAATAATCCTCAATTACAATGTAACATGTGACAAACAATAAAACATCCTAATCAACTCATCACTCCACACATCCTCTCATATAGTTCGTCTCTCGATATTCTAAAAATCAAATAATAATCCAACATGTAACAAAATCATAAGCACTTCAAAGTTTCTTATCAACTCACTGGTTCCAAAACAGTAATTATGCCACAGCATAAAACACCGATTACGAAAATATTGAAAACCTCGTCCATCATAAGCACAAATAAACTTTAAACTTGGACAGTAATGAAATGGACACAAGTCATCATCATATTGCTGCAGTGTCACAACTGACGTCATAATTGTCAACAAAAGTAAAATCACTAAGATTCTCAAACTTTTCATTCTACTAATTTTTATGTTACACAAAAATTCACGCCTCAGAGTTTCGTAAAAGATATCTGACCGTCAGATAAGATGGCACAAAACTGGCTTTAATTCACAATCATCCAAAACAAATCTTTTTTTTTCTCGCTCACTAAATTGATGAAGATGTTTAAATTGAGAAATTCTCCTTGACCTTATCGTCACTAATGTTCACGAGACACGGTATTGTAATTAAGGCAAAACACATGTGAAACTTTATATTCTGTATAATTTTATATTTATTGGACTATGTAATAATAATTATTTAATAAGATGACTCGTCGTGCTTCACTTAAATTCGATGTGTTAATCAGTTCTGTCGACATAAACTCGATTCGACTTCCTTGAAATCTAAAAGAGATATAAAACACAGAAAATTACTTAGAACTGGTAAATATGAGACAAACAGCAGGGAGTGGGAGCTCTTGGAGAGTGTTTGATGTTTAGTTTTAATTTTTTGTGTAAGATATTGGGGAATTATGGATTGGATGTGCTCTCGTGTGAGTGTGATGATGATTAAATAATTATAGATGCATTTGGAGACGATGGTTGGATATTTTTGATGCTTTGGAGGATTATCGGTATTCTTTCTGTTTTTAGCGCATTTTCCTATCAGAAAATGATGCTGTTATCCACACTTTGTTTGTCCGTTTGTCCGTCCGTCTGTTCGTTTATCGACCTATCTCCTCCCCCAGTTGAAGCTTTTATTTCGTAATGAATATGATTAAAGTGAAGCAGAAGTGAAGGCATGGGTCTATGCTAGGTTCTATATCAGTGATTCTCAAACTTTTTGGTCCACGGCACATTTTTATACTTAAAACTTCTTGCGGCACACCTGAATAGTCTCATCGCACAGTAAATGAACACTTAATGACAGGAATGAGTTCAATAAGTACTTTTTGAAGTCATACACCTGGACTTCTTTTACGGCACACTAGAGTTCCGTGGCACACAGTTTAAGAACCACTGTTCTATATAGAAATTGCCTTATTTTCTCAATATTTTTTTTGTTTTTTCATTTTAATTGCACTTATTGACGACATACTACATAGTAAGTGTAGTGCTTTTCAAGCTGTTAGAAGTCGAGGAGTTTCAAGCAAATTGAAGAAACCGACTTGGCAGAGGGTTGAATCCAATAAACCTTTCCTTAATTAACCAAATCTTCATCTCGCCTTTCATACTGCATCTAATATAGACACAGTCAGACATTTCCTAATGATCTTTTTGGATCAGGAATGGCCCAGAGTAACTGATAAATGCTCGCATGGACGATATTACGAAGTGATGTCTTTCTTACATATCGTTTTAACCGTTGCGGTGAAATGGCATCAGTGACCTAAATGGTAGAGCGTTGGCCTTACGTGCCAAAGGTCCTGGGTTCAATCCCAGGCCATGTCTAATTTTCGAAGCTCTTTTTTCATTTCACCGTTCTAGTTACCAAGCTCGGTTCGTGTGTTGGGTGTAGTATTGATGTCTTTGGCATAGAATATGCCTCCTTTGCTAGGTATACAAGGATATACTAGCATCTGGATGACTTCCTTACGGCATCTTGCGCACACGGATTGTGACTAGGTACATTGCAGGGTACATCAGGTCTTATGACGTACTCGTGTCTTTGCAATGTGCAGAGCTTGCAAGTGGTTCGGATCCCACTATAAACTGTAGGTCTAAAGGGTGTGGTACAATAGATTCTGTTCTAATTTGAATCGCAGTGCCTCCAGCTGAAAGGCTGGGCCCTTCACATATTACATTATATATATAACCGTGCATGTCCCTACTATAATACTGCAACGTCAACTTGAGCCTTTTTGTACCTCGTGACAGTAAAAACAGCTTATTTTAAAGGGTTTCATGTAGTTGCAACCCGCTTAAAATTAATATTACTACTTGACTACACTCCTGCTCTTTTCCTTGTTGATGTACCTTAAGCCATAAATCTTTAAAAAAACTGAAGAGTTCCACCCCTTGCCTCTCAAAAAACACGTAAAATCCATAAAACTCCAATGTTAATCTTCACACAAAATTATATTAATCTACTCACTTGATTGATGGCATTTGTTGTGTAAATTCATTCGACACATTCCAGCAAAAAGTCTCAAATCACTTCCGTCATACGCACAAACCATTCGATCAAAATCATCGTCTGTACAGAAATTCTTGCAAGCTATTCTACTTTTCTCAACTGGAGTTGAATTAGTTGCATGAATTAAGTACAATGCAAAAATAATGAAAGTGAATGTGCCTTTCATGTTTGAATTGTTGTTGCTTTAAAAAAATAGTCTCAGACTTGAATTGTATTGTAATGAGTCAGATTGATTAATTTGCAAGCTAATGTTGAAGAAATTGCGAATGTTTTTTGCTCAACTTATGAAGCTTGATTGAATAGAATGCAGTTTCCATTCTGCTTTTATATACTCACTTTCCAAGGCCGATGAAGGTTGGGGTTGTTTTGGATGGAAAACTTAAGAATTGATAAGATAAGAATTTAATGGAATTTTGAGGGGAACATGCAGAAAAAAAGCAATTCAAGGTCATTACCGTGCGGAAATTTCGGCAACAACTGTTAATTTTAAGGTCGATTCCTTCAATAATTTTACTTTGTTGATCCACAAAAGACTCGTGGCATTGTTGATCATTAAAATTTACATCCAAAACTGGTCATTTGACTTGAGGAGATTTAAGTGACGTAATAGCAAAAAATGAAGATGCACAAGTTCCACGTTGTTTGTTTTATACATGACCAGACATTCCAGTGCTTTGAAGATTCAGATATTTGATATTTAACAATCGATGATATTCTCGCTCCGGAACTAGAAATGACAGCTGATTTAAAAGCAAATTTGAGAATTAATTTTACATTGTTGATATTTGCTGACATAATCGAAGTAGGCGTTGAAATAATTTTAATTCGAATTGATTCGTCAGAAAATTTTTCTGATCGGAATAAGCTTTGAAAAATTGTGCAGTCAAACAAGTGAAATTAAATCGTGCAAAGAGGTTAAAATGTCAAGCAGTATAAAAGGAATCAGAAGAGTGTTTAAAGCTAGAACTAGGAGAATTCTAAATCAAGATTAGATGTAAAGATCTTCAGGAAATCCAAATTCAACCCTGTACACAACCTTCTACAGCTAGAACTAGGAGAATTCTAAATCAAGATTAGATGAACAGATTTTCAGGAAATCCAAATTCAACCCTGTACACAACCTTTTGCAGTTCATGTTGAATTAACTGGAACTCATCGTGATCAACATCAATCGATTCATCAATGAAGAATGTCAACTCATCCAAGTCAATGGTCGATCAAAAATCATTGGAATTCGGTCAAGAAATTATTTCTACAGAAACAGTCAATGTCTTCCTACATCTTTGGAAAAACCATTGTTCCTCGAAAATACATCGATTGGAATCAGATTCAGATGACTACATATTTTAAATGAGGTTGTTGACAGAAACAAAAGTGCAGTAAGTATTGATAATTGACAAGCTGTAGCCGGCGATAAAAGTAACTTCAAGCAACATTCATTAGAGGTGATGGATCACATAAAAGCATTAAAGCTGATTGTGGAGCTACTTGTCTATATGTTCGAAGAGTATAGGCCTGAGCATAGGGCTCACTGTGAATCTGGTTGTATGTGTATGATGGACAGACAAAGTGAGATAAGTACCTTGGGTGATACTTGATACCGGATGATCAAGTGGTCTGAGATCGCATCTTTTGAGGTCGTAAGTTTAATTTCCATTGAACTTGACTTGTTTTATATTTGTATACTAATGCAGCAGTTGTAGGTAGATCTGCACAGAAATATACTAGTACAAAATACAAAGAAAATCATTTATTTCAGATTCGAGGAAGTTGTATCATCTTAAAATTGCTTGCTTTAAGAAATCATTTGAATGTTGTGAAAGTGTGCCTTAAATTCCTGTTGATTTCAACTTCATTGTTGCTGCACTGCTGAATTGGAACTTTTAGGATTGCAAGAATTATTTAACTTACTTCCTCGATTTCCTGTTTTATTTTGATCAAGGTTTCTAGCTTCACGATAATGCAATTGCTTGATAAGTTGAAGGGATAAGAAGGAATTGGATAAGTGTTCCATTTTTGAGGATGGAATTTTGAGGATGGAATATATAAATTTTAAAGATGGAATATATAAATTTTGAGGATGGAATATAGTAATCTGCTTCTTCGACAAAGATTCTAAATTACGAGAAATTGTTGATGTTTGTTTTCAATTCTTAATCTTCAAAATCATGACTTGATTTAATATTCTCAATGAAAGACTTTGTTGTAATTGATTAATGAAAGATGCTACTTTGGGAGTTAAGTTAAAGGCTGGGTTTGATCTACTGGAATTATATTTTAAATTGGTTTGATTTTGCGTCATCTTAATGACGTTTCTAGCTTCACGATAATGCAATTGCTTGATAAGTTAAAGGGATATGAAGGAATTGGATAAGTGTTCCAAATCAAGAATTTTGGCATAGTGACGATGGAATATATAAATTTTGAGGATGGAATATATAAATTTTGAGGATGGAATATATAAATCTGCTTCTTGCACAAAGATTTTAAATTACGAGAAATTGTTGATGTTTCTTTTCAATTCTTAATCTTCAAAATCATGACTTGATTTAATATTCTCAATGAAAGACTTTGTTGTAATTGATTCATGAAAGATGCTACTTTGGGAGTTAAGTTAAAGGCTGGGTTTGATCTACTGGAATTATATTTTAAATTGGTTTGATTTTGCGTCATCTTAATGACGTTTCTAGCTTCACGATAATGCAATTGCTTGATAAGTTGAAGAGATATGAAGGAATTGGATAAGTACTCCAAATCAAGAATTTTGACATAGTGACGATGGAATATATAAATTTTGAGGATGGAATATATAAATTTTGAGGATGGAATATATTAATCTACTTCTTCGACAAAGATTCTAAATTACGAGAAATTGTTGATGTTTCTTTTCAATTCTTAATCTTCAGAATCATGACTTGATTTAATATTCTCAATGAAAGACTTTGTTGTAATTGATTCATGAAAGATGCTACTTTGGGAGTTAAGTTAAAGCTGCACTATGGGCCAGAAATGGAAAATTTTTCCAAAAATTATTTCTACAGCTTATATGATAGTCCTTATTCTGCCCTACATTTACGTTCTTAAAACTTTGCCCAAGTCGACAGCGTGTCCGAGATATGGCACTTCAAAGTTGGTCAGACGACCATTTTCACGTTACATTGAAAATGCTCTCACCAGTCACTGGATGGATGAATCTCCTTCAATTTTTTTTTGGTAATAGCTTTAAATAGTTCCTTCATTTTAAGGTATAAACAATTGCAAAAAACTTTGGAAAATTTTGTGAAAAACTTGATTTTTCTCAAAAACCACGTGTTCGTCATACTTCCGTTTGTGTAGGTCTTCACAAGCACAACCAAAGTTACTAATTTCTTTTTTATATTAAAGACTACATCAAAAGCTATAACTTTTGCATACATGTCGTATAATTTTAACAAAGTTTTGGTAGTGAAAAAATTTTTTTTTATAAAAAAAACACCAATTTTTTGACAAAAATCGCTGTAGTGCTCCAGGGATACCCATGGTAGTGGAATTTTATTTCACATTTAGAAAGCTCTCTGGATATGCTATCAATTAATGCAGTAAAATGAACAAGTGTTCTCTTGGCAAAGAGCACTTTTTTGACTCTGAAAGTCGTTTGTCGAGCAAGGTCAAAAAAGAAAAATAATCATAAAAATTTCAGTTTTAAGTAAAATTTAATTTTTTTAAGTTAGATTGATAGATCTTTTTAAAACGCGTCTTTTGAGTATAAATATGTCATAGTTTTGTCAAGTTTCATGATCAGTTTTTTAAAAAAATAGTTTTTTTCAAAAAAAAACTTGAAAAATAAAGTATTTGACTTTAGAATTTCATAAAATGCATTCTTTTTAACATTTTTTTCACTATTTTGTCTAGTTTTGCTCCTCGTTTTTTCCTAAACATAAATCAATAAGAACTTAACATAATTGAAGCCATTTGGAGGTTAAATTGAGTTAAAAATCGTTTAAAATTTTTGTATTTCTTAAATAGTTCTTTACACAAGTATCTAAGATATAAAGTGTTGCATAGTTTTGAAAAGGTATTAAAATTTCCAATATGTTAACATGAAAATTTTAGGAAAATTTTCAAGTAATATAGTCAATTTGGGTAAAAAACGCATTTTATATATGCTAGTTTTTAATGTTTTTCGTTTTTCTCAGCAAAGACTTTATGAAAAACTCTCAAAGTTTGCACTTTTATTTGTTATATAAATGTTAATGATTCGTAAAAGTTTTGGAATTTTCTATTGAGTTTTTCATGAGTTCTCCAAATCTGAAATTTTCAATATTAAAAATCCTTTTTTCTCAATAATTCCGATTTTTTATTTATAAATAAATATCTTATTTTGTTTCATTTTTCAATATCTTTTCATTGATATGTAACAATCTACGAAAAAAATAAGACTAGCGAGAAATCAATAAAAAAAGTGTCAAAAATTTATGAAAATTCTACGCTATTTTAATTTTTTAGCATTTTCTGGTTAATTTTATTAAGTTTTGTAAGAGTGTTATACCTTTTTGCAAATTTATAGCTTAAGACTTTCATCTGCTTTCATCCATTAAAATTCATATGAGTCAACGATAAGCACAACTGAAGTTAAATAAGCTTCACGTTGGCGACAAAAGACAGTTCCATATGAAGAAAACCATATATTAATTTTAATGCTATTTGAGCTATAATATTAAACTTTTTCATTTAGTTTTGTTATAAATGTTTCATGTATTTAATAGCAGCCTGAAGATTTAATTTAAAGCTTTTAAATAATTTGATTTTAAAAAATTCAAAATTTTTGGTTGCGCCAACGTGAAGCTTATTTAACTTCAGTTGTGCTTATCGTTGACTCATATGAATTTTAATGGATGAAAGCAGATGAAAGTCTTAAGCTATAAATTTGCAAAAAGGTATAACACTCTTACAAAACTTAATAAAATTAACCAGAAAATGCTAAAAAATTAAAATAGCGTAGAATTTTCATAAATTTTTGACACTTTTTTTATTGATTTCTCGCTAGTCTTATTTTTTTCGTAGATTGTTACATATCAATGAAAAGATATTGAAAAATGAAACAAAATAAGATATTTATTTATAAATAAAAAATCGGAATTATTGAGAAAAAAGGATTTTTAATATTGAAAATTTCAGATTTGGAGAACTCATGAAAAACTCAATAGAAAATTCCAAAACTTATACGAGTCATTAACATTTATATAACAAATAAGTGTGCAAACTTTGAGAGTTTTTCATAAAGTCTTTGCTGAGAAAAACGAAAAACATTAAAAACTAGCATATATAAAATGCGTTTTTTACCCAAATTGACTATATTACTTGAAAATTTTCCTAAAATTTTCATGTTAAAATATTGGAAATTTTAATACCTTTTCAAAACTATGCAACACTTTATATCTTAGATACTTGTGTAAAGAACTATTTAAGAAATACAAAAATTTTAAACGATTTTTAACTCAATTTAACCTCCAAATGGCTTCAATTATGTTAAGTTCTTATTGATTTATGTTTAGGAAAAAACGAGGAGCAAAACTAGACAAAATAGTGAAAAAAATGTTAAAAAGAATGCATTTTATGAAATTCTAAAGTCAAATACTTTATTTTTCAAGTTTTTTTTTGAAAAAAACTATTTTTTTAAAAAACTGATCATGAAACTTGACAAAACTATGACATATTTATACTCAAAAGACGCGTTTTAAAAAGATCTATCAATCTAACTTAAAAAAATTAAATTTTACTTAAAACTGAAATTTTTATGATTATTTTTCTTTTTTGACCTTGCTCGACAAACGACTTTCAGAGTCAAAAAAGTGCTCTTTGCCAAGAGAACACTTGTTCATTTTACTGCATTAATTGATAGCATATCTAGAGAGCTTTCTAAATGTGAAATAAAATTCCACTACCATGGGTATCCCTGGAGCACTACAGCGATTTTTGTCAAAAAATTGGTGTTTTTTTTATAAAAAAAATTTTTTTCACTACCAAAACTTTGTTAAAATTATACGACATGTATGCAAAAGTTATAGCTTTTGATGTAATCTTTAATATAAAAAAGAAATTAGTAACTTTGGTTGTGCTTGTGAAGACCTACACAAACGGAAGTATGACGAACACGTGGTTTTTGAGAAAAATCAAGTTTTTCACAAAATTTTCCAAAGTTTTTTGCAATTGTTTATACCTTAAAATGAAGGAACTATTTAAAGCTATTACCAAAAAAAAATTGAAGGAGATTCATCCATCCAGTGACTGGTGAGAGCATTTTCAATGTAACGTGAAAATGGTCGTCTGACCAACTTTGAAGTGCCATATCTCGGACATGCTGTCGACTTAGGCAAAGTTTTAAGGACGTAAATGTAGGACAGAATAAGGACTATCATATAAGTTGTAGAAATAATTTTTGGAAAAATTTTCCATTTCTGGCCCATAGTGAGCTGGGTTTGATCTACCGGAATTATATTTTAAATTGGTTTGATTTTGCGTCATCTTAATGATTTAACTACACTATTATCATACGTGTAAACCACTTAAAATGGGCTGGACAAGTGTTTAGATGTACACAAGATGTCCCAGTATATAGAGTAAAAGTTGCAGACTTTATGGATGGCAAAAGATCTAGAAGAAGACCAAAGAATAACTGAATTGGATGTGTTGATAAGGACGCTGTAGTCCTTAATATCCCTGACTGCCTGCATGTCTCCAAGGATAGGGCTGTCTTTAGACGATCATCAAGCACGGCAATGGGTCCACATGCGCTCCAGCCAAGTAAGTAAAGTAATTATTAATCTTAAGGTACACAAAACATTCTAAGTTCAAAAAATGACAACCACAGCAATTAATTCTGTTAATTTAACAATGTTTTATTTTTAAAAAAAATTCTCATTAAACATTTTACTTTTTCTCAGTTAATAATTCACAATTTTCCAATTAATTATACAAATAATTAACATTTAATAATTTTTATGAGCGTAATGTTAGGTATTAATAATCATATTTAATAATTTTAATTCTTTTCATAATTTTTGCATCTCAAAAAATTGCAATTTAATTAAATTAAGATTCAGAATTGGAAGTTATATGTAAATTGATAAGTTAAACAACTTCGATGTCCATCGACTGAAGAACTTGTGATTTTTAAAATTTCATTATTGCTCAATTTTTGAAGTACATTACTTTGTTCATTATGTCATAAATATATCGGCTATTATCTCTTTATGGTGCAATGGCTAAAAATCTTCTCAACTCTTCCTGAGTATCAAAAATCATAACAGGGAATGGTGAGCCTGGAACCAACTCGCCTGCCCATCTTACTTCTACTCTGTAGTCTCCTGGCTCCGTTGGGTCATACTGTAAAGATAAAATTGATTAATTTCCTAGAAATTAAGAACACAGACTCTAAAGCCATTTAAACTAGATGCCTTGGTACCATTCTAAGTATCTTCAGGGACACTTCTCAAACTTTAACCTAAATACTTCCTTACCTTGCATAAAATTGTCCTATCCTTTTGAGATTCTCGCTGCATTTCAACACGGAATGCGCCTTTTGGTCCTCGGACTCTAACAGTCAATTGTCCAGCACCAGCACCTCGTGTGTCACAAATAAACCTTGACTGGAAGGTTGCAAGCACCCCATGTTCAATACCAGGCCCATAAACTCGTACTTTACTTGCATCTGGAGCACCAACAACTCTTAGACCAAATGGTGATCCTGCAACATGCTGACCACCATACTTGATTGTCAATAGATGTCTTCCTGGTTCTTGTGGTTTAATATTCAATGTGAATGTTGCATCACCATGATCATAAAGTTCACAGTAAGCAACTTTTCTAGGTCCAGTACAATGTGCTGTAAGTTCACCAGGTCCTGCTCGTCTTGTGTCTATCCATGACTTAATTTGTTGTCCAACAACTCCATGTCTTAATCCTTCGCCTGAACATTTAACTTTACTGGCATCAACAGATGATCCGACAGTTATACTAAATGGACATCCTTTAATGACTCGACCACCCCACTTGACATAAAGATTCAATGGACCTTGTGATGATTTCGGTGGTGTATAAGAAGCTAGCCAAATTGGCTCATCTGCACGAGGTTGATTAAGAGTTACTGGAATTTGGAAGCCATCTTGATAAGTCACATTAACTTCAGGCTTTCCACCAACCGGAATGACTTGTGTGGCATCGATTGTAAAGTGAGCAGACTCGCCGATTTGTGCTGTCGATAATCCACGTCCTGTAAGACTGACTTTATCAGCAGCTTGTTGTGATGTGACAAATGCAGTTATTGGACATTTATCGATTGACATTCCACTCCATGACAGATCAAAATCATGATCACCAGCTGACAAGTTATCAGTTGTGATATGAATCTTAAATTTGTCATCTTGTTTCTCAACATTAATCTCATTTCCATCAACTGTGCAGATAAGTTCACCAGGACCTGCTTCAGATGCATCAAAAATAATCTTAGCTGGAAGTATAAGACGCCCTTCACTGTCAAGGAACATAGCCCATCCAGTCGTTGGTACAACTTTTGTGCTGTCAACACTTGCAACACTCCAAGGTGAGCCTGGAAGTGGTCCTCGATTTGGACAACTGGAACGAATCTCATATCGACCGACTGACAAAATTGTGTATGTGATACGCCATTCGTTGTTGCCAAGAAGCTTGATTTTAGGCTCAATTCTTTCGCCCTTTCCATCGAGATGCTCAATTTGAACATTTGGTGGTGATGGACAGAAAACATTGAAAGATGTCTCTTTACCCCGATGTGCTACTTCCAAACCATTCCCAATTGCACGTGATTCAGACTTCATACTACTTTGTGAGACTGCAAATGTTATTGGCATCTTGACTTGCTCACCGCCATACATGATTATGCATTTGTAGTGACCAGATATTGTTGGAACAAACTCAATCATTTTTAGATCATCTGGTTTGCTTGTGACAGTAACTGGAACATTCTGACCTGTCGGTGATAAAATTGTGACATCGACATCAGCATCGCCTGCTTCATGAGTATTAATCATAAATGAAATTGGATGATTTATAGAAAGACCAGCTTTTGGAATGCTCATAACTTGAACTTTTGCGGAATCGTAAGCTTCACATGTGTATGGACTTCCTGGAAGTGCCTTAGCATTATGCAGAACATCAATTTTACATTTTCCAGTCTTTAAGACTGTAAATTCAGCTTGTAAATGTCCACCTTTAGTTTGATAACAACGAACTGGAAGTGCTTGACCTCCTGGACCAGACACAACAACATCAAACTCCCTCGCTGGACGTCCATTAGTATCAATTGCAAATGATGTTGTCTTACCGACTCTAGCTTGATATAATCCAAGTCCATGGACACAAATCTCTTTACCAACAGTCATTGGCATAACAATAATTTCAATAGGCTTATTTGAAATCGGAATTCCATTAAACATGAGTGTGACTTTATGTGGTGCAATTCTTGTTGGATGATATACGACTTCCCATTGTGAATTTTTAGACTGACGAATTGAATGAGCTACTTCCATTGCTCCACATTTAACGAGTGCTGATAAAGTTCCAACGCCTGCTTCTGCAATCGACACAACAATTGTTGCTGGTTGATTGCAATGTGCTTGTCCGACTTCGACAATCTTAACCATTGATGCATTAAAGACATTCATGCTTCTAGTGCTAACAATGCTTCTCGTTTCTCGATCAATAAATCTTAATGTATAGCTTCCGGTCTCAAGGGTCTTAAATTCTGCCTTGCGTTTTCCAACTGTTGTGTATGGAACTGCCTTTTGACTTGGTCCAATTACTTCAAGTATGTAGTCATCGCCAATGAGATCAACCATTGCTGGATGACCAGATTGAACGTTTTGAACACTTTGCTGAATGTCAACCTGAAAAGAACAGTCGATTAGAATGCAGCAAATAAATTAACAGCATGTAGAGTAGCATGATCTACCCACATTAAAATCACGCCCAAAAATTATCAATAACAAGCACATACCTTAAATGGATTGCCATCAATCGGTATATCATTGAATGTGATGTTAACATAATGTGGTTCTGCGGTTTGTGGCACAAAAGTGACATCATACAATCCTCGTGCACATGCAGTAACCTGTGAATATATGTTCAATTTAAAATAAATGAGATTAAATCTATTGGAATAGGATTTTTACCTCAGCTTTGACGGTATTATTAGCAGTTGATACAACAAGCTCTAATGTTCCTTCACCTGCTCCTGCGGCATCTACTGAGAATGTAATTGGAACTCCCAATTGTGCTGGTGATGCTTGTCCTAGTCCACTAATTGTGACACGTGAGACATCAAAGACATTGCAACTGAATGGCGATCCTGCTATGTGCTGTTCTCCGCTTGATACACTGAAAATAAGTAAAAATATTAAGGAACAATCTTTGAATAATTCAAATTAATTCTAACCTTATAAGATGCCTGCCAACAATGATAGGCTTAAAAGCCGCAAGCCAAACTTCATCTCTCAATGTTAATTTGCACGGCAAATTGTCACCAGCTGGACTTGTGATGAATATTTGTGGCTCAACTGCTTCAAAGCCTTCAATTTCAAAAATATTGTCGACATTGACTGGTGCCTGTCTTAAAGCTTCACCACTTGCCATTGCTTTCATTGTCGACATCATTGGTTGTTGTGTTATGTTGCATGTAAATGGACTTCCAGGGACTGCTTGACCATTGAATCTTACTGACAATGAATGCTTTGCAGCTTCCGTTGGTTTAAAATTGACTTTAAATCTTGCATTGCCTTCGGATGTGACGAAATTTGGGACATTCTTGCCACCAACAGCAACAATAATTTCAAGATTTCCAGCACCAGCTTGTGATGCGTTTATGCTGAAACTGACACTCTTTCCGACAGTTCCATTTTTAATATCCGAGACAACAACTTTCTCAGCTGAATATGCTTTTAGTAAAAATGGACTTCCTTCAACGTGACCTCCATTTCCAGGCAATCGAACCTCAACTGAATGATCACCAACGTCCATTGGTTTAAATGTGATTGAGTATCCATTTCTTTGAAGATCTTCTTCTATTGTGACAGGTACAATACGACGTGCTGGTCCGAGGATTTCAGCAATTGGCTCAGCATTTGATTCTACGAAAAAGTCGAATGGTTTGTCAACTGCAACTTTGTCTAATGTTTCGAGTCCAAGAATGCGAGCTGCTGACATGATCTGGAATGGAATTTGATGTTAAAAACATGTTTTTGGCAATAATCAGTCGTCAGTTGACCCAAAAGAATGTTTAATGCATACCTTGCAACTAAATGGACTTCCAGGAACATCCTGTCCATTAAACCTCAACTCCACAGTATGATTTTGTGGATCTCTTGGTGTAAATGAGATGGCATATGTATGCAAGCCCTGAGCTTGAGCTGATGTCGGTACTCGTCCATCATTAACTGTCACTTCCAAATTTCCTGGACCTGCTTGTGCTGTTTCTACTAAAAAAGTTACTGAACGACCAACGGTTCCACTTGTAACATTCTTAACTTTTATTGCATTTACGTCGTAAACCTGAAAGGAATTAAATGTTTTTTTTTTGTTAGTCTTTGACGGCTTTAAAGACTCAGGCACAATTATTATATAAGCACAAATTCCAAAGTGACTGAGTCGTGACCTTGTAAAATAAGAATTACATACTTTTGCAGAATATGGACTTCCAGCTGTCTCTTTTCCTTCAACTGTTACACTTACTCGGTGTTCACCGACCATTCTTGGAACAAATTCAGCTTTAAAAACACCGTCCGCTGTTTGTAGCACTTGCGCTGGAACTGAATGTCCAGTTGGCCCTTTGGACATGTCATTAAATGTTGATATTTTTCAGTCAGTCCAAAAATTTGTTGTTGTTAATTTTACGTTGTGTATTTTTTTGTGTTTTAATTTTTTTTTTTTATATTTTCGTGTTTTTGTGTTTATGAACAAAAAGTAGTTTTTGTAGTTTGGAATTTATCGTAAGTGAGTAAAAGTCAAAAATTAATGCATTAGTTAAGAATTTTTTTACGCCAAAAATATTTATCGGATATTAAAAAGCAATAAGCCGTAAGCAAATAATAAAATTGTGTGGTTACAAAAAAATGGCACATATGAAATAACATTTTCAGTTCCATTCATTCACACGTACTTATTAATGACATACATTTTTATGCGAGCAAGGTATGGACACTTTGGGATTGTGGATGCTATGGAATACATAAAAGTTCTATCTTCTCCAATTCTGAACCTAAAATGGTCTGAATTCCAAATTATTCCTTTTTATTTTCATCATCTCATGCCTATAAACATCAAAACTATTCAATGATAGTGTCCAACCCTTGACTGCAAGCATATTTGCACATTGAGACACAAGCACACATACATAAAAATTTTAATACATTTTTTCATTATTTATACAAGAATGTTGTATACCGAATTTTAATGTTTAAATAATAAAGGTGTTAAAGAGATTGTTAGAGATTATGGTGACATTAAGCGCATTTTTGGGGACATGTTGTGAGCATTAAAAACATAAATTCCTTATCATTTCGACAAGACTGTATGTAATGATTGAAAAATCGATTTCTGATTAGGCTGTCGAATTGCGTACTTTTGAGCGGGACAGTCTCGCTTTTTAGCGCATTTTTGAAACTTGTTTCTAAAAGGTAGCTTAATAATACACTTTGTTCGGCTGTTCGGGGCAAGAAAAACTTTTTAACCAGACATCTTAGAGAGCTTGGATTTATTTTATTAGCTCATTTCTATCGAGTTATTGGCCGGCCAAACACTTAATAGTCTTAAAACAGTGTATTTATACTTTAATTATTGATTTTTTTATTTCATATGAAAACACGTGATATGTGCGTTCAGAAATTTGAAATGTTATATAAAATTGTAATCAGGGTGCGTTCAGAAATTAGATTTTTTCTAACCGATAAAAATTTGAAATTCAAAAAACAGTTAAATAATAAACATTCATTGTAATTATTTGTTAATTACACTAAAACGAATGATCTTCTTAATGATCAAATACTGATCGTTAAGTCAAAAATGCGATTAAGTCTCTCGATCAATAACACGAGGACTTCTGTAATTTTTTGAACAAAGTCACACCTAAGATTCTTAATTTCCTGCTTATTTGAACCTATTTTTCTTGGAAAATGCTTGAATATTTGGTTCATCCAGCTTTTTCAGAGTTGAAATTGAGGCATGTCCCGTTTTTGACCAATAATCGGGAAAAAACGAACAGCCTATTTCTGATGGGAGTTGAACCCGCGTCTTCACAAAATATCGTTTCAAAAATCTGATCTGAAGTTATACTATTCAGTCACAGATGCTTGACTCTTACACTGGCAGATTGAACTCCATATGACTCTTCAACTCTTTTAAGACACATTAAATGACGAGGATTGCTAATTTTTGCAACAGTTGAAGTTGGGATAGATTAGGGTACAATAGATTATATCATCGATCAGGATCGCAGTGCCTCTAGCTTGTCGCAACGTGTAGTAACACATAGCTTGGCTGGACCCCTCTCTTATTTTGATGCATCGCCTAAACAGCGACTAAGTTTTCAAGTAGAGAATTAAATCATTCCTCGAACTTACTGGCTCACTTTATGTCAATCTTGAGTTGATGGCTCTATTTTCTGAACGCACTCAACTCATCCTTTACAAAAATAAACATTTTGACCAAATAAGCTTCACAAAAATGCGCATAAAAGCAGTTAATGGCAATTTTTAAATTGATTTTCAACAGAAAACAGAAACAGAACATGAAAGTGAAAATGAAAAAAGTAATTATTTGTTGATAGGACAGCAGAAAGTGCCACAGAGTGAAAAAATAAAAAAATTTCAATTAGCGAATTTCCATCCAGATTGTAAAGGAATGTCAATATTTGAACATTGAATGCAAATTCCATTAAGGATAAATTAGCAACTGTAATCAACTTGATAGTGATAAAATAGTGCTGGAAATTGATTACACTTGACCATTCACCAAAGTTTATGTTAGTAGCTTTGTAAAGCTCGATTTGTCAATAAAAGTTTTTTCTCATCTTTACTTATAAACTCAATTAAAGTTAATTAATTAATCAATTATTTTAAATCATTTGTCTTGTTTTAATTTTAATTATTTTTTTTAAAAAATTAGAAAGTTAAATTTTTGATAATTATTTTTAAGAAAAAAACCAAAACTCAAGTCTAGTACAAAAGTCTTCGTCGTCCTGAAATAAAATTTACAAAAGAATAACGAAAAAAAAAGAGAATTTTTTTGTTTAAATTTACAAGGAATAATTTTTGAATTTGAAAATTTTTTGTTAAATTTTTCGAAAGTCAGCGATAAGTTCTACTCACAGTAGGGAATTTTGTTACAAGAAAAGAATGAACCTTCCAAAGAGTATTTTTTCCCCAATTATTTTAAACAAGCAAACCTACAATTTTTTTAAATGTCTTAAGTTTTGATCCAAATTCCTCACTTTCTTCATTAGCTCAATTATAAAAAATTTTAAAAATTTCCATAAAAATACATGATCTTATCTTTATCACTAAAATGCATACTTTAACACTAGATGGTATTTCTATTTTATTTCATAGAGCTCAAAGTCGAATTCATTCAATTTTTATAATCAATTTAAACCAGTTTTAGCCAACCATTTCGGACCCACGCCACACCTCGATGGTAAGCCATGACTAGACTGACCATCTGTTTTGTTTTTCAGAGGACAGACTTCTATTTTTTTTTTTTCATTTTTCAAAAATTAAATAGTTTTGTGTTGTTCTAATTCGTCCAGAAAACGAATAAAATTGGTGGACACTTCGGATGTCCTCGATTTTACTTTAAGGTTCTCTATTTTTTCAAAAAATATCTAGTCACCCTATCTATGACCGAAACCCTACTTGACATTCGGTTTGTGGGGCTTTTCTAATTTTTTCGTGGATACTTGTGTGTCGCGGCACATGAATTGGCCATTACTGACTTAAACCAACTTAAAACTTGACTTTATATGTTTCTGGTCCAATCTAAAATTAGTTGTTGTAATTAAGTTGACTTTAAGACCTGACTTCTTACAAGACTTCCAGTCTGACCATTTCTTTTACTACCAAAAAATATCTATAGTTAAAATTTTTGTTGCTTTCGAAAAATCTAACGAAATTTTCTTTTGGTTCGTAACTTTGCGTGTCATAAAGTTCATATAATACAAATCAATAATTAGGGATCATTCACAAATGACGTTAATTTTCAATCCGATCTGATTCTTTGTCATGATTTTTATAGTTTCAGATCCATCTCTTCAGGCGCGTAGCCAGAAGGGTCTTGTCTTTCCCTTAAACGTTTTGAACCACGGCCTTAAACGCTTAAGAGGAGGAAAATACCCTCCTGGCTATGCGCCTGCATCTCTTTCATTTTTGAGTGTTTAACATCATTAGCAAATAACCCCTTATAACTTAATGAATTTACAATAATTTATGTGCATGATTTTGGAATTAGAAGATATAAATTTTCAATATGCACAATGTGATGAGCTTAAAAATGTTAAAAAGATTTAATTTTTTTTTGGTCAATTCAAATTTTTGTTTTGTGTGTTTTGTGTTAGAAATTTGTTCAAAATCTACAAATTTTTTGAATGTTCAAACTCAAAGTGAATGGAGAATGTTCATAAGGTGATAATGATTTAAGGCAGTGATGGTCAAACCATGTGCCGCGACACACATGTGTGAAAACATACAGGAAATCTTACGAACCGTATGCAGTGTGCGGTTTTGGCAATGTTTTAACCTGAAGATGTGTCGTAGCTCAAAAAAGGTGAGCCACCGCTGATTTAAGCGATTCTAAGAGATTCGCTTGATTTTGTTCTACATAAATCAATGTCGACCTGCCTCTTTTCGACTAAACTTTAAGCTCTGATTTTTGTTTATTGACCAGTTCAACGAATCTTTGAACCAGGAAAAGAAATAACTGGAGGGGGAAAATCATAAAGCTGAAATTTTTAATATTGGCTTGATCTTTTTAAATGTAAGAAGTGCCACATTATGGTCTTAACCTCAGATCCCCTAAGGGATCGTTCACTTATGACGTCCGATATTAACGGTCATTTTTCAAAGAAGAACAATAGAACTCCAGGAATTTCTTTATTTCTTTTATTGACGTCCCCCCCCCGGACGTCATAAGTGAACGGTCCCTAAATCAAATAAATTAAAAATTGAAACTCAAAAGTCATCGAATTCCAAAAAAATTACTTCAAATATTTCCAATTAAAATATCTCTGTCAATAATTGAACAGATCCAATTCCAAAAACCTGATTATCACCCAATAAACATTCAATGCAGACAGAGGAGAGAATCAAAAGAAAACAGTGTAGAAAGAATGTACAGAAGAAAAGAAGTGTGGAAAGAATTGGTGAATAACTTAATGTGGTATACAACTGTGTACACGTCATTTTTACAATAATATACAAGACAATGCAACTTATTGACAGCAACTATTGATTGACTCCATGCCAATCGTGACTCTTACCTTCAACATTAACTTCAACATCGTCGAGTCGTCCGCCGGGATTATTAATAATCAATGAATTAGCCATATGAACTGGTCCAGGTCCATTTAATGAAACCTGAGGACCTGATGTATTACCACTGACTTGCACATTTATTGGACAGCCAGGAACTGGCATTTTGTTAAATGACACATTTATTACATGCTCGCATGCTTCAGCAGGTACGAAGGAAACAGCGAATCTAAAAAAATAAGTTCATTAGTTAAGGTTTTAAGAACTCTTGTCAGTTCCACATACTTAGCATTTCCTTGCGGATGCACTTGTGTTGGGATATTATGTCCCTTCGCAGAAATTGTTATTTCTAAATTTCCTTCGCCTGCCTCATGTGCATCAACAGTAAATTGTACGGGACGACCGACCGAGCCCTTTGTTACAGCACCGACTTGGACTTTACGCGCGTCATACGATTTCGAAACGAATGGAGTTCCCTGTTAGATATAAAATTGTCAATTATTCATCAAATAAGACATCATTAAATCAAAGTTGGAAGGGAACTTACATGTACAGGATAACCATTGTAATCGACATTAATTGTATGTGCACCAACACTAACAGGTGTGAATTCAGCTGTGAAACCAGAGTGAATGTTGCCTGTAACGCGTACAGGCAGTTCACCTTGTGTACTTCTTACACTTACTGCCAATTCAGCTGCTCCGCCTCCATTGACCTAAGGTGAAAGTTTCACGTGTTAAGTTTTTTATTTGTGAAAGGAATGGATAGGTGTGCATGCTAAGGGGTCGTCCATAAAGCCATAATAAATTAATACTTACAGTAATTAAAAATGTTGCGGGATGATTAACAGGAATAAGCTCGAGATTTGTTAAATTAAGAGTAACTCGACTTGTATCAGCAACAGAACAGACAAATGGACATCCTCGTACTGTTTCACCATTAAATTTGATATCAATCATATGTGGCTTAGCTTGTTCAGGTGTGAATGATACGAGACATCGACCACCGCCCACAACTTGTACATGATTTGGCACTTCACCTTCATTAATTGAAATTTCTAATTGACCTTCGCCGGCAGCTGATGCATCAACACGAAATTGACATGCTTGACCAACAATACCGCTATTTACGTCTGTAACTTGAATGAGACTTGAATCGTAGACTTTTGCAATAAGTGGACCTCCAATGAGCTTTGTTCCCCCAACAGCTGCTTCAATAATATGTGTTCCAACTTCTTTTGGCGTAAATTCTATTTTTATGGCACCATTTGCCGCCTCGTTGGTGATTCGCGCATTAACTTTACTTTTACTAGGTGAAAGTACAGTCGCAACACAATCAGATGCCCTTAAGGACGATCCAGGAGGCGGCAGTATCTCAAAAACCGCCGGCTGATTTGCAGGTACGAGACGAGTTGATTCTCCTAATGCTGTTACTCCAGGTGATGATGGCATGATATCAATGTGCCAGGGTGAGCCTGAAATTATTAATATTTATAATTAGTTGAGTTATTTAATCAAAATAATAAGTATAGGCAGGAAATTCAGCATGCAAACTTGCTTTTTGGTATATAATTTTGCATTACTTTCTCTTTTCTTGTCGCTGAGCTTTACAAAGTATTTTTTTATTTTTTGGGGCTAAGTAAATTATTATGAATATGTTCACTCAATTGTTATTTTGCTCTTTTTCGGTTTATGATTATTTATAAATGCATTTTTGTTTTGGGAGAACTTGCTGTTAGTTTTGAATGATGTAAGGAGCAATGCGCTTTGGAATAATCGGTTAGATAAATTAAAAACAGCATGATTGACATCATAGTAGCTAAGATAATCTAGTTTTGATTATGTATTTGGATAAAAAAGTTGGATAAAGTTTTTGTAATATTGTCTAGTGGACTCAAATCGATTATAGAATTTGTGTTCGAGTTCTGCTTGGAATTCGTTTTTTAGAGTTTGTTTGAGTCTTTGAGTCAAATCAAATCGGATAATTGAGTCAAACCTAGTCGGATAATTGAGTCAAATCTAGTCGCATAATCGATTCGAATCTAGTCGGATAGCTGAGTCAAACCTAGTCGAATAAATAAATCAAACTAAGTCGAATAATTAAGTCAAACCTAGTCTGATAATTGAGTCACAACTATTCGAATAATTGAGTCAAACCTAGTAGGATAATTGATTCAAATCTAGTCGGATAATTGAGTCAAATCTAGTCGCATAATCGATTCGAATCTAGTCGGATAACTTAGTCAAACCTAGTCGGATAAATAAATCAAACTATGTCGAATAATTAAGTCAAACCTAGTCGGATAATTGAGTCAAACCTAGTCGGATAATTGAGTCAAACCTAGTCGGATAATTGAGTTAAACCTATTTGGATAATTGAGTCAAACTTAGTCGGATAATTTATTCAAACCTGGTCTGATAATTGAGTCAAACTAAGTCGAATAATTGAGCCAAACCTAGTCGGTTGATGGAGTCAAACATAGTGGGATAATTGAGTCAAATCTAGTCGGATAATTTATTCAAATCTAATCGGATAATTGAGTCAGAACCTAGTCGGATAATTGAGTCAAACCTAGTCGGATAATTGAACCAAACCTAGTCGCATAATTTATTCCAACCTAGTTGAATAATTGTGTCAAACTAAGTCGGATAATTGAGTCAGAACCTAGTCGCATAATTTAGTCCAACCTAGTTGAATAATTGCTAATTTGGTCAAGAACACCCTACACTGTTTTTGCACTCCTTATTTCCAAAGTACTCTAGAACTAGCGCTGCTAGCCCAATTTGCATTCTTCTTTAATATTTTCAACATCTCAATTTTTACTAAATAGAACAATAAATTTTAACAAGTCATCATTCATTTAATTGTCCATTTACATAAAACATTTGAAAGTTTTAGTACATCATGATTGATTCACATTTAAACTCTTTAATTTTTTTTTCTTTACAAATCTAAATTATGTTACTTTAATAACGGTTAAGTCAGTAGCCAAAAAGAAAATTTTTTTTATGAAGAGCAGCTTTTTGAGAATACAATAAAACAAAACAAAAATTGTTGAATTATTGAGTGTACACATTATTTCAAAGTAAGTAAATTAGGTTGAGTGCGTCAGTCAATTTGAGATTGTGAATTTGCAATTTTTTCTTTTTGAGGTCAAAACAATGCAGAAGTAATTAAATTTTGAATGAGCATGTTGATTAAGTGGGTAACGTTCTTTTTTTTTGTGGAAAGATGCCAGATTTTTTGTTTTGTTTATTGGATGAATTTTAATATTGAATGAATGTGGTTCAACTGAGTGGTAAGGTAGTTAATAAAAATTATTGGAAGTATGTCTGGAAGCTTGAGATTGAAAGATATCGTTCTTTAATGAGAATCGAACCTTGGTCCTCACAAAATAATGGTATAGATATTTGGCATGTTGCCTGACCATTTGCGCTACAGAGGCCTAGCTATCGCACTAGAAGATTCGTATATATATCAATAGATACCCCAGATTCCACTCTGTTCCGAAACCACGCTTAGTCATATGAAATCATATGGCAATTGTATGATATACTTTACATCAGAGATAAAGCATAGTGCAGGCTTTAGTGAATAAGAAACAACCGGCCCCTGAGATTAGTGGCATAGCCAGTTAACTATGATGTTCAAAACGGTAACACTAACTTCCCCTAGATGACCCATTTTTAACTTAATCACATCCAACATCGTTAAAAAAATAAATGTTCCTAAATTTCTCAATCCATAAAACATTAGCAAATAGCAATAAGTGAGCAATTTCCTAACCAAATCCAAATTTTCACAAACTCATATTTATAATATCCATTATTAAAGATTAAATGTTTGCATAACAGCAATCACTTTAAAATATTTTCTTATTTTTCCATTGAAAGTGCTCAAAATAATTCGAAAAAATTGAATTCACTATCGACACCCATTTCCTTTTCGTTTCAACCGAATTCAATTTAAAAAGCTTAAAATAATAAAAATAAAATAAAATATAGCTCGAGCGAAAATTGAGCCAATTTCATTTGTTTACAAGCGTGCAGAATTCTGTATGACTCACAGCAACGACAACAGTTATGGTTCGAGAAAGTTGAACAAAAATATAAAAATGCGAGCATTTTTCAATTGTGCTCTGTATATTTTGTTGTTTATTAAATTGCATAACAATTAACAACTGAAAACTATTGTAGCTTTGTTGAAACATGAGACTGCTTTATGATTTCAGAGAAAAAAATAATAGTTTTGTAGGGTTTGATGGCTTGAGTGTGAACTTACAAATCATTCAAAAATTTCAAATAAATTAATTTACAATTTTAAAGTTTTAAATTTAAAAAAATCATAAAATAGTTTTAAAAATTATTAAAAAATGTTTTTAAAAAATTCAAAAATTTTTGAACATTTTTTAAAAAAATAAAAATTGAAAAAAAATACATTTAAAAAATTAAAAATAAAAATTAGAATTCAAAAATTGAAATAGAAATTCAAAAACTGAAGAAAATAAATAAAAAAAAATTAAAAACTTATAAAAATTCAAAAAAGTTAAAAAATAAAGTTTTTAAAAATTTGAAACTTTTAAAAAAATCCAAAAAGTTTAAAAATTTAAAATTCTATAAATTTTGAAATTTAAAAAAACAAACATAAAAAATAAAAGAAAATTACAAACTATTAAACAAAAAATTAAAACCACTTAAACTCCCTAATTTCCATTTTCATCCACTAGCACCCATTTATTAACAAAAACACAATAATTCTCATAAATCATAGCGTGGAAAATTGTTCACGACAGCAACTCCATTGCGTCATCCAAGATTTGAAAATACAGCACAAAATTTTTCTAATATCGTTAAGATTAACATCATACAATACTCATTGATGGAGGAAATTTGAGGAAGCTATAAAAATTGATTCAGATATGCTTCAGTTGAGCGTAATAAAAATTTTATTTTCATTTTGTGACGTAATTCATTTTTCGCACATTTTGCATTCAAGCTCAAGGTAATCTCACTGAATTATCGCTGATATTAAAAATACTATTTTTGGATATACAGAGCAATTTGAAGCCATTTTTATGGAATAGATTGAGATTGTATAAGATGAAATAAAAATTTTTATTGGCTATCAACGTTCCATTATCCAATAATTTTAATTACTTTATCATGCTAATTAATTCTGTTGCTGGAAGTGATTTTTAGAAGCTTAATAGCTTCTGTTTTGTTTTTTAAAAACATAGCTTTGATTCTTAAAATGTTGTTATTCGTTAGATATCTTAATATTCTTCTCGTGTTTAGGCAGTAGATTAATTATATATCCATAAACTTTATGTCAGAGGATTGAGCCGAAGTTATTCGTCTATAGTTGATGATAATTGGCTTAACCCTCCTCTTATTATCAGGTGTGGAGATCCTCAACTTTGAAAATTCGAGTATTGCTCGGAACTAGGTAGAATCTTGTTTCCCGAGTCATAAGTAAGGGAATCTGTCATTACTTGGATAAGATCTCTTTAGTCAAGTATGTTAGCAACCATTTAGAAAATCTATAAACAAACCTTTTGTGAAGACTTAGGTTCAAATCCCACCACAGACCGGCATTTCAATAATTTTACAGATTAGTGTCGTTATGACAAGAAATCGAACACTCCTCACAAAATTACAATCCTATCAATTTGCACTTGCTAATTATGAAAACTTCATCTAATTATAGCCAAACATACAAAGCTTAATGTTCCTCGGATTAAATCAATTGAGCAATTTTCGTATGCCTCATTTCAGTGAAAGTTTGCCAATATGCTGATTGATATTTTCTATTTGTCATTATGTTTGCCGTCTAATTTTGAGACAAACATGAAAGTTGTGACTTTTTCGGCATTTAAAAGCTAAAGTTTCGAATTTCTACAGTCATGTTAGACAACAAAGTTTTTGAAATTTTTGTCACTTCTGTTGTAAAAAGTCAAATGTTTTGTTTTTAGAGTCGATTTTTAAATGGCAATAAAAACTTTCATCAGATTTATTTAAAAATAGATGAACGCATTGTTTCAGGTTGAATGAGAAAATAATCTTTAAACGGCAATGTGAATTGAGTGTTTACAAAAAATTATAAATTCAGAAAATTGACACCAAAACTGACCATGTTTTCTAATCGAGACTGACTAATTTATGTATCCTATTTAGTTTTGATTGAAATGAGTTGAGTCTGACAAACCTAGCGCATCTTATTGCACTACTGTTATGTCTTAATTGCAGCCCTAAACCCTGCATTTGACCTTAACATAACAACAACATCTTAAATTCATCATACACTAATCACTCAATCACTCCACAAAGCCATTCTTCAATTCACAAATCAGCATTCATTTATTTCATGCCATTTACAGCACCCAAGATCCGCAAAAACATTAAAATGCGCATGATAATGACAAATTTATTTTTGTCACACTTTATAATCATGGAGTTTCTCTTTTTTCCGTACCTT